AATAATCTACAGGGTGGTTACTGTCAGGCAAAGGTGGAATCACAGGGTCAGGCCTTTTGGCATAAGCTGGACACCAATTGGGATATAACTGTCATAATCATCATCAATGACCCACTCATGATCAGTATCAGCCACACTTCTCCACCATCATCATCACTGTCCCCAAGTGCTACATCACGTGTATTATCATTACTTACAGCATTATCGGTATCTGTGTCACTGTTTTTCCCAATTGTCATCACCAAATTCACTCAATTCTGAGTCTGAATCTTGCATTATTTCACCCAATACATCTTCTGTGGCAAGCCATTGTTTTTGTCTACATTTAACTGTTGACATGGGTTTGGTCAGTGCCCTCAAATTGGGCCAAAAGTCAAGAATTTCACAAAAATAACACTCACGATCGAGGAATCTACACTAAATTACATTGTGGTTGCCTAGAAACCGTGCAGGTGTGGCACAGAGTAAATTACAGATCGGTAAACGGAACTAAGTCAGGAATTCAACTTAAGTCGCGTTCAGCACTCTACATGGAATTCGACTGAAGTCGCATTCGGCAGTGAAAGAGTTAAGATGATCAGGCAATAAGGAGAAAACTTACGTGCTACCTCCAGATATGAAGCCATTCTTCTGGTAGTATGTTCCGTCTAGGGCTACGGCCTGCAGAGAATGTGTCATATAGTTACAATAAATAAAACCTTTATAAGACAATGTTATCTTCTCCTAACATCATATCTATTCTCATTTTGCAAAACAATATCTTCTCCTATCTCTTAACCCCACATACTCTATGGTCTTCTAACTAACTTCATATCTTCTCTCATTTCCAAATTAAACACACAAGCCTTCTCCCATTTACCCACCTAACACATCTTTTCCTGTTTCCAAACCTGTACATAATCTTGTCATCTTCCAACCTACTTGACTTTTTCCCATTTCCCAACCCTACACAGGTACATATCTTCTCCCATTTACCCACCTAACACATCTTTTTCCATTTCCCAACCCTACAGTTACATATCTTCTCCCATTTACCCACCTAACACACCTTTTCCCGTTTCCCAACCCTACAGTTACATATCTTCTCCCATTTACCCACCTAACACACCTTTTCCCATTTCCCAACTCTACACAGTTACATATCTTCTCCCATTTACCCACCTAATACATCTTTTCCCATTTCCCAACTCTACACAGTTACATATCTTCTCCCATTTACCCACCTAACACATCTTTTCCCATTTCCCAACCCTACACAGGTACATATCTTCTCCCATTTACCCACCTAACACATCTTTTCCTGTTTCCCAACCCTACACAGGTACATATCGTCTCCCATTTACCCACCTAACACACCTTTTCCCAACTCTACACAGTTAAATATCTTCTCCCATTTACCCACCTAACACATCTTTTCCCATTTCCCAACCCTACACAGGTACATATCTTTTCCCATTTACCCACCTAACACATCTTTTCCCATTTCCCAACCCTACACAGGTACATATCTTCTCCCATTTACCCACCTAACACATCTTTTCCCATTTCCCAACCCTACACAGTTACATATCTTCTCCCATTTACCCATCTAACACACCTTTTCCTGTTTCCCAACCCTACACAGGTACATATCTTCTCACACCTTCTCCTATTTTGAAACCTAACACAACAAATTGTCTTCCATTTTCAAGCTGACATCATATCTTCTCCCATCTCTTAACTCGACATACTTACATCATATCTTCTCCCATCTCCTAATTCATATGCAACCTTAGATGCATCATCAGCGGTTTCAGAGACAAGTGCATTGTTGGTTGCATACAGCACAGCTCGTTTGATGGCAGGAGGATCGTACTGAAGGACATCGTACAGGAGTTTGACATTTCTGGGAGACTGAACGTTTCTGTGAAGAAAGGAAACCGAGAAATCTGTTGGCTTATTTATGAAATGATTAAACATTAAACAAACAACAACAAAGTCCATCACTGATGTCTTTACTGATATCTTAGTGGTTATTTAGTACTTACCTTAATCTCTCTTTTAAAGGCTTAGCATCAATGTAGTCCAATGGTAAAAATGTTTCAGCCTCTAACATCTGCTCCTTTAGATATTTAATACAGGATCGAGCCGTGCGCTCCGTGTCCACCACAATAGCCTCCATGTTCCTCCCGAGAACTTTCGTAATAGCTACATTGTAACGTTTGTGGATAGGCTGACACATGTTTACCAGACGGTCATACTGGAAAAAGAGGTGGGCAGATTAACATTCAGAAATTTATTACAAATTTAAAGTCTAGTACTTAAAACTCTACTGATGCTTTGATTACCAACATTTCATTCATATAGATTTTGTTGCTTTCCTTTACAGAAATTTGTATATAATACATAATGTACCTACAGTAATATATATATTGTATGTATAGTAATATATATTGTACCTAAAGTAATACACATTGTACCTAAAGTAATATATATTGTACCTAAAGTAATATATATTGTACTTACAGTAATACATATTGTACCTACAGTAATATATATTGTATCTATAGTAATGTATATTGTACCTACAGTAATATATATTGTACCTACAGTAATATATATATATTGTACCTACATTAATATATATTGTACTTACAGTAATATATATTGTACTTAAAGTAATATATATTGTACTTACAGTAATATATATTGTACTTAAAGTAATATATATTGTACTTACAGTAATATATATTGTACTTACAGTAATATATATTGTACCTAAAGTAATATATATATATATTGTATAATGTGTCCCAGATGTCTGGATCCATAGGGAAAATATACATTATATTTTTAAAGTTAAAAAAAACACATTTCTAATGTCAGTTGTACATATTTCAGGAAATAAAATACCATGATGTCACAGTATGTCAGGAATTGATATGTGTGTGGCTGTTAATTTGAATAATAAATCAGTTAAAAATATATTGTGTATTTTTCCCTATGGGACCAGACTTCTGGCTCCCTGTACATACAGTAATTTCATGTTGCACAAACCTTTCTCTCAATACAAATTGTTTCATGTTTTGCTTTACCTTTAAACAATACTTTAATTATATTATACAATGAATGAGATCTTCTATTCCTTGTTTCAGTAGGTTACTGTTCACACAAACAAGCTGTGAAAATCAAGAAATGGTTAATTTTGAATTGCAGTAATAAAAACTAGTGTATTATTAAAACTATTTCATTGGATAAACAATGTTTATTCTACTGTGATGACTCAAAGATAGAAGTATACTGTTACACAACAATAATTAAGTTTATAAAGACGGTGTTTATTTGACAAAACTGTCCTTGTGAGTGGTTTTAACAGACTTTAAATGACCTGATAGGGAACCAACACCCTGCCCTGACATGTGGCCAAGTACCATGATAGGGAACCAACACCCTGCCCTGACATGTGGCCAAGTACCATGATAGGGAACCAACACCCTGCCCTGACAAGTGGCCAAGTACCATGATAGGGAACCAGCATCCTGCCCTGATAAGTGGTCAAGTACCATGATAGGGAACCAGCATTCTGTCCTGATAAGTGGCCAAGTACCATGATAGGGAACCAGCATTCTGTCCTGACATGTGGCCAAGTACCATGATAGGGACCAGCACCCTGCCCTGACAAGTGGCCAAGTACCATGATAGGGAACCAGCATTCTGCCTGACATGTGGCCAAGTACCATGATAGGGAACCAACACCCTGCCCTGACATGTGGCCAAGTACCATGATATGGAACCAACACCCTGCCCTGACAAGTGGCCAAGTACCATGATAGGGGACCAGCATTCTGTCCTGATAAGTGGTAACCCTTATCTATTAAAATTCTTACCACTCCAGGGAATAAACGCTTAAAGTGATCAACAATCTCCGCTTTTTTCTTCCTTCGTGAATCCTCATGCTTGTCTACCTGTAAAAACAATGGTATAAAATACACTTTTAATGTAAAAACAGTGGTATAAAATACACTTTTAATGTAAAAACAATGGTATAAAATACACCTTTAATGTAAAAACAGTGGCATAAAATACACTTTTAATGTAAAAACAATGGTATAAAATACACTTTTAATGTAAAAAACAATGGTATAAAATACACTTTTAATGTAAAAAAATTATAAAAATACACTTAAATTTTTTCTGGTCTAACAATAGTCTATACGCTATTATTCATTCTTGATGTCTATAAAAATATAAAATACACTGTTATTCCTTCATGTGTATAAAAATATAAAATACAGTGTTGTTCTTGTTTCATGTCTATAAAAAATATAAAATACAGTGTTGTTCTTGTTTCATGTATACAAAAATATAAAGTACAATGTTATTCTTGTTTCATGTATAGAAAAACACAAAATACACTGTTGTTCTTGTTTCATGTCTATAAAAAAATATAAAATACACTGTTATTCTTGTTTCATGTCTATAAAAATATAAAGTACACTGTTATTCTTGTTTCATGTCTATAAAAATATAAAGTACACTGTTATTCTTGTTTCATGTCTATGAAAATATAAAGTACACTGTTATTCTTGTTTCATGTCTATAAAAATATAAAATACACTGTTATTCTTGTTTCATGTCTATAAAAACATAAAGTACACTGTTATTCTTGTTTCATGTCTATGAAAATATAAAGTACATTGTTATTCTTTCATCTCTATAAAAATATAAAATACACTGTTATTCTTTCTTCTGATTGAATTTTATAACACTAAAGAAAATGATCAGACATTATTTGTACCTTAGCATCCCCAAGCTCTATCATGATGGATTCTAGTTCATCATTGATTTCAGCTACACGCTTTTTGGCATCTGTCACCTCTTCCCCAAAACCTTCTTCTTGTTTTCTCAAGTCAGACAGTGCCTGCTCGCTTGTCCTGAATGAACCAGTTATTCAGATCTTTTTAGAAATTAAGTTAACTAAGACTTACATTTTCAAAATTCAACAGAACAGTTGGAATGTTAGTTTTAAACACTCCTCTTATTGAGAACCCAAAATGGACCAATAAAATAGCATGTGGTAAAACTTATGTCCTATTGTAGTTTTAAACACTCCTCTTATTGGGAACCAAAAAAGTAGCATGTGGTAAAACTTATGTCCTATTGTAGTTTTAAACACTCCTCTTATTGGGAACCCAAAATAGCATGTGGTAAAACTTATGTCCTATTGTAGTTTTAAACACTCCTCTTATTGGGAACCCAAAATAGCATGTGGTAAAACTTATGTCCTATTGACACACAGTATCACAAGAATGGTTACATTGGCCACCTAATCAAAAGACTGAAGAGAAAATAAACAATTAATATATAAGACAAAGCAATTTTCAATTTGAACTACTTTACAACAGAATTACACCACTAATTTGAAACATGCTGGCTCAAGCCACGTTAAAATATATATTTCTTTAAGCTGGAAAACTTGAACAGGTTTTAACACCTTTACTGTGGCAGCAGTTTTTTTCAATTTCATAGCAGAATCCTTTGTTCTGTGACAATTTAAGGCTTACTGCTCTGATCTTTATATGTATGTGTATTTAGTATTCACAAGTAATTCGGGATAAATCTCTGATATTCAGAACTTTGATTTGTACAGGATGAGAGGGAAGGAAACATCTTGTACAAACAAAAGCATGTTTGGCGTATTGTTTTTTCAAGTTCATTACATTGAACAGCAATATATAGCTGCTGAAGTAAAGCAGTTAATGTTTGACAAGCCTGTAGATTTATCCTACGATCTCAGTGAAAGAATGTTATTATCAAGATATACAGCGGTCGTGAAACTTTATCATGTGATCTATACTAGAAAACATGGGGATTTTCCTGGCTTGCTAGACAAGGCAAAAATATCTGTGGGGGGATATAAAGAAAGGTTAGTAAATACCACAAGTTGTATGATATAATATGTACATAAATAAAGGTATTAAAACCTAGGCCTTATGGTACATTGGAGCAAAAAGGTTAAAGCAGTGACTTAAAAAAATCTTATTTTTGTAATGGTAGTGGGGGAGAATTAATCAATCACTTTAATTGTTCATTTTTGAGCCTGGATTGTGAGTTAGTTTAAGTCTGCTTATTTGTTAACTTCGGACCTTGTATTGTGAGTTACCTAAGGTCTACTTAATCATTAATTCTAGAGCTTGGTTCTTGAGTTAGTTCAGGTGTGTTTAAGAATTAACTTCAGAGTTTTGGCATTGAGATAGCTCAGGCATCACAAGATTAATGTACCTGATATATTCATTCAGTTTCTCCACTCGACGAACATTTTCTTCTAGCTCAGATCGCTTTTGCTTAACTTTAGCCTCCATCTCGGTTCTTTTCCGCAGCTCGTTATCATGACGGTCTTGATCGGACTTTTGATCTCTGTTGACAGAGTCCAGCTCCTGAAGATACCTGGATGATAATTTTCCAGCTTCCTCTTTCAATCGGTTATACTCTTGAACCTAACAAAAAATAAACAGAGTTTAGTTGTAAATCATTCTATGCATATTTCACTTTAAAAACATACCATTCTCATGTGTATACACTAAATACAACCTGCTTAAGATACACAAATACAAGTCTTACTTCACATCACTAGAAACATACCATTCTCATGTGTATACACTAAATACAACCACCTGCTTAAGATACACAAATGCAAGTCTTACTTCACATCACTAGAAACATACCATTCTCATGTGTATACACTAAATACAACAAC